AAAACAAATATGGACTGCTCTGTAATCGGATGATGGTGGGAACTACCACTCCCTCGGTGGTGTTAACACCGGCCCTTCTATCACCTCTCGGCTTCGCCTCGGGGGTGATAGAAGGACCAGTGTGAACACCACCTTGGGAGTGATAGTTCCCACCATCATCCTCATGAGCAGTCAATATTTGTATACTATGGCATTTGTTTAGCACAAAACCACATTTGGAATCGATTTACACCAGCTCAAAATATAGTATCTTGAAGTAATTCATTAGGTTGAGCATTACACTTATCTGTAGCCAATCTCAGTCACCCATATTTGGCCTCTGCATGTACTTTTTGACTAAAAAAAGGTGATTTTATCACAAACCTGTGGGACGAAATACCCAACATGTTGTTACTCAATTATTCCCACTCATATTCCACAGACTTCAAGAACGGGGGGCCAAATTGGACACAAAGGAATTCAAGTCTTGAACATGTATAAAAAGATAAGAGGCCTGTGCAATTAGCATGGGAACTGTTCATGAAGAGTCACCGTTAATCCGATCTTTCATCAGTCTCGCTTACTCGCGCTCTGGGGCTAGTGCGGCGAACGTGCTCCGCATCTCTGCGTCGTAATGCCAGATACTCCTGAGGATAGGGTTAAGCTGACAACACAACTCAATCAGGACTTTATCTGTTGGGCAATGTTAACTCCAATTACCCTGTCGCAAACAATAGTGGGTCTAAACAAGAAAATTGACTCTGAAGGAGAGTGCAAGCTACTGTGTAATTGAAATTCTGTGCTTTCTTGTCCTTGTAAACAGGGTGTTTTCATTCACAAGTATTTCAGGGCATTTTTTTTTTGTTGTTGCCAGATTTACCTGGCCTCCAAGTAGGAAGCATTGCACTGTTACATTATGGAAAACACATTACTGCACTATATGCCACTATCAGGGGCATTGTGTCTGTCAGAGCTTTGATTAAAGTGTAAATAAAATATAACTTAATTTGCAATTCATCCCCACAGTATGTTTTGGTTTTTTGAGACCAAAGCAGTTTATGAATCATGTACTTTTTACATGCATCTTTCTTTGCTCATTATTCGAGTATCATTCACGATTTCTACAAAATTCATTGGGCAGATAACATCTATCTCTCATATTGATCATGAATTGTTACTTTGATTTAATTCTGTGAAATTCTATTTTCCTTTAGAAGTAATCAACAGAACTGGCTCAACTGAGCTAAAATGGCTGACCTATACAAAGGCTCCTCGTATGCCACTTATTACTACGTACATGTATCAATGTCACACCTCTTGCACCACCACTCTGCCACGCCACGGCATTCCATCGTTGACGGAGATACCAATGCATGACAGCGCTGCGGCGCCAAACCGTCCTGGGACCGAGGAAACACGCAATCGAAGCACGGCACAAATATTTTGCAAGCGGCTCCTGGTCCTAATTAACCGTTCCCCCCATGGCGGCAGAAAACATGACTTGGGTCCGGGGAGAGATGGCAGAAAAATCATGATTGCGAAGTCATTTTCATTAGCCCTCGGCGGAGATGTGTAAACATGTTTGTGTAAGTGCAGTAGATAAGACATCCCGTTTGATTCAATTAAATGATGCTGAAATCAATCTTGAATAAACAGGGCTTATTCATCCAAAGAAATATGACAGGTTAATTTGCAAGTCATGGATATTTCAATCATGAATTCAACCTGTCATGCATATACATAGTACATGTAATGGACATCTTCGAAGAAAAAAAAAGAGCCTACGGTACTAACTTTATCAAGTGATCATTTGGTATATAAGTGGGCCTAATCTTAATTTTTTTTAAACCTGTCATACATCTAGTCAAACAAGACAATAGCCTTCACTTTTATTTTCAAGAATATTTACTAAATAATATCATGAACATGCATACATAGAAAGTTAAAAACTTACTTTCTGTCAAGTTCATCATGCCTTAACGTCATGATTCAATATTAAACAAAATGAAATAAAAACATGTACATGAGCATGAACAAGTATCATAAAATGTAAATCCAACTATGTGTGTATCATTAAACCCTCTTTTTAGGCATCTACATGTATTAGGCAAAACAAAAATAAAACCTGACAAGAATTTGATATTAAGATCGATGGCTCTTTGGTTAACTTTATGGTAGCTTTTGTGAGAGTTTAGGGGGCATGTAAGGCTTAGCCCTTTCTGTTTGCTACATACAGAGTCAAGATCTGTACATGTCACCAATCAAAAATGAAATTAGACAAATCAGATCACAATCACAAGATTTTCAGATGTATACGGTATGAAATTAATTGAATCAGTGAGCAATGATTTGCTTTTTTGAATCTGAATTAGAAGAGCAGGGTCGAGTTGAGTGACCTTCTATCAAGGGTTTAGATCAGGTGACAGACGAGAGCCAATCAGGGCCTGGAGATGGCCCTAGCTTTCCTCTCTTCCTCCCCGGTTTTCTGCCGGTCATGCTGTAATTCCGGCTCTGGATCAGAAATAGATCGGAGGCCCTATGTTCGTCCATATGGTATTAAATTACATTTAGAAATATTGACCTCTTTCTTAATCTTAGTCCCATATGTATAGACAGGTGAATCTTTAATTTGGGTGCTATAAAGACACCAAGATTTATGTAACATATTGTCTTTAAAAAACCCACCTATACTTGATGTATATATTCTCATGCTAGATGTCAGATATTTATATAATATTGACTGGCCTTGAGGGGTATATCAGAAATATTGACCAAGCTCAGATCATATTGCCCCGAGTCGAAAGACGAGGGCAATATGGTCTTAGCGCGGTCAATATTTCTGATATCCCCCAAAAGTAAAGCCAGTCAATATTTTTATTGTTATCCAAATCAGACATCTAGAGCAAATACAGACATCCACCATGACAATCTCAAGAACTGAACAAACTTTGTCAAACCAACACTGTGCATCCAGTGCTTGACAAAATGTTCAATACACTACAAACAGTGTGTATTTGGTGTGATTATTACGTCACAATAGAGTGCGCGCAAAGTGCGCAGGTTCTCGTACGCATAATATTAATAGATGCGCAATGAAAATGCGAGACCGTGGAAAATACCAAGGTATATTTTCACTCGTCTCTACACGCAAAGTCAATACGCGCAGGGAGACCAAGGAAAATACAAAGAATATACCCCTCCGTTCCCACTGCTAGTGAAAACTAGGGCAATACGGTTTTGTAAATGACCAGCTCAGATGTCTGATACGGGTAATAATAAATAATATCTGTAATAATCATATGTACGCTCCTGTGGACTATATATATATATGCATCTCATTGGCATTAAATATGTTGTTTGATATTCCATTTCCTCCCTCCCCCTATCCCTCCCTCTCTCTCTCTCTCTCTCTCCCTCCACCTCCCACTCTTTTCTTCTCCCTCATATATCTATCTCTCCCTTCCTCTTTCTATTTCTGTTGATGTCCCCTTCCCCCTCTTTCCATTCAGGAATGGTCAATTTATCTCTCCTATACTTGAATTTTGTCTTTCACAAGTTTTTTTATATGTCCATCCATCCTTTCATGATATACAAACAAAACCTAGAAGACTTCAAGAGTGCCTTTACAAGTATGTAAGCTGTAGTCCCGTTCTAGGAAGGTGCCTTCAGAGTAGATCCCCTTGGTATGGTAGTTTTTCTCTCTTTTATTGTTTTCCCAATTTCTTAAAATCTTCATCCAGGATATGATATATAAACAATGCCTCTAAGACTGAAAAGGTTCATTGATTGGCGAACTACGTGTGATGATAGGCCTGACTTCATCAGCTGGAGTTTGCCAAATAACCAGCTATTTTCAGACTCGGGATATTATCCTGAAGCTCAAAATTTTGTCCTCACTAGACCGATACGCTCATCACAAAATAGCTTAGACGGGCGCAAATTAACCTGCTATTTCCGAAATAGCGGGATATTTTGGAAACAAAACCAAGATTTCTCAGGATATTTTCTCAACCAAATAGCCCGATAATTGCAACTGCGGGCTGATCAACACGCAAATTAACTGGTTAATTTGCAATCCGGATAGTTAAAATAGCGGGTTATTTGGCAAACTCGAGCTAATGAGGACAGGCCTAATGCCTAATAGACATGCCGTCATGCAAGACTTGATTGTCCAGTTTCGGTAGGTGCCTTCAGCCAATCGTCAAGACGGTCAACGACAAACTTCCATTGGTGTGTCCCCTAGGGGAGGGTCAATGGAAGTGAATTTGAGGCCACCCACTCATCAAATAGAACACAGGAAATGAAGCTTATAACTCAAGTTTTCCTGTACTGTACATGTATGTATATCTGCCAAGCTTGCTCTTCATACAACAGTTGTGATCTTAAGGACTTCTTTCAGAAATGGAGGAGAACTGATGTAACCGTTTGATTTTTACACGTAAGAAACACAGTCACGATAGACTGCAACATTAGCATTGTTTGCTAGTTGTATCTTAATCTTATGAAAGTCTAAACCTTCAAATCAAGTCTCTATTTTGATCCAAAATGTCAGACACCTACATTTGCACCCTGTATGCATATATGTAAAAACACTGTGCAGATCAAAAGTGTCATCCAAAAAGAATAGTATCATCTGAAAAGGTTAAACCAAGGTTACAAAAAAGAAAAAATGTCTATGCTTCTACATCTAAAGTAGATGTACAGGCACTCCATTGCAATAAAACTTGCTCTTTCCCTAAAATTTCAATCACAAAATTTTGAACAAGGCATGCAGAAAAAAGAGAGTTAATTAGAGTTCTACCAAATCATAGGCAATGTGTCAGTCACGTAAAAGAATGTAGGTTTACATGTATAGTCAGGCACTAAGCAGATTTTACATAATTCCTTAAGTATGCTACGATAATTTAATTCTTCAGTATCGCTGTGGGTGTACAATGCATTGCAGAAAGAGAGTGTTTAGAGTTCAACCAAATCAAATGAATTACTATGCTTTTTAATTCTTCTTTTTCAGTTAGACTTACCCAGAATCTGGGCTCCTGTTCGTGGGGTGTAGAGGATGGCATCCTTGAACCACGTGACATTGGCTGTAGGTCTGCTGAGCGGAGCACGGCAGAACAGGGTTGCAGGTGTCCCCTCTAGGACATCAAGGTCTGTGGGCTCCGTCACAAAGTTCCAATCCATACCTTACAGATGACAATGGTAATCAATAAATGGTTAGACTAATGCATACCTGCCAACATTTGAAAATGAGAATTAAGAATTTTTAGCACGGTATGTCTTCGAAAATAAGAAATCTGTACCCTTAACAGGCGTTCGCACATGCAGCGGCAGTGTAACTGGCAATACACAGTAAATCTGTGCAAAAAAGCTAATACAAATTCGCTGCTCAATCATGCAGCCCTTCAACGCACGCAATACATGAACTCTCACATCGCGGCATATGATAAAACAAGCTTAATTTGGCTTAAGCAACACACAAAAAAAAAAAAAAAAAAAAAAAAAAAAAAATAGAAATTTTGAAAATCCGGAATCTCCCGCATTTTGGGGTCCTAAAAATCCAGAAAAATGGGATATTCCGCATTATTCGGGAGGGTTGGCAGGTATGCTAATGCTAATACAAATTATGATGATATAAAAGTAATCAAGATAATAGTGATAACATTCCATTCTTTTATACCACACATTACTTTATGTTATATTATGTTATATTATGATATCATGTTTCTATGCACTTCCAATAATTTTTCAAAATCAGAACCCTGGTCTAGCTCTGAAAACCATTGTCTGTAGAATGCACTCAATTCGTAGAATAATCGGTACCTGGTAAATTATAGAGAATGTGTCACAGTTAAAACAATAGTCTTGGAACATAGAGGTCCCACATTCCAAACCAAATTAATATCAAATCATCATACACTCAATCTCCTAGTACTGATATCAAGCAAAAGTTCTTTTTTCATATAGCATATATGAATTTAACAAACTTTGTGATGACACAGGCTAAAGGGTAGTATTTGGCAACTCCTGAGACAGTTCATTTCCTATAGCCCTGGCTGCTAAACCCTTGGCAAACCAACAATTGTTACATCACATCACCCTCCAAACGTTCAACATTTTCACTTACTTGCTGTGAAGAGCGTGATGCTAGGGGCGGACACGGACCCCACTCTGCTGGTCCCAGTACAAACGTAGCTCCCTTCCTGGGCCTGGGTGATGGATGAGAACCGCAGGGAACCGTTCAGGAGGACCTGGACCTCGGTGGAGTTCATGATGTCTAGGGCTGCTCCCTCCCGGCGCCAGGTGATGACTGGGAACGGGTCTCCCAGGATGACGCAAGGGAAGATGGCCGCTTGCCCTGTCGGGACTACCTCGCTGGTCGGGGCTAGACTGATGTATGGGGCGCCAGGGTTGGCTGTGGAGAGCAAAAAACATGATTTAAACATCAATTATGTCACAGATCTTGTAAACACTGCCCAAACCCAGCCATAAACTGGGATTGTATCTCCCAGGATGACGAAAGGAAGATGGCCGCCTGTCCCGCTTGAACTACCTCATTGGTTGGAGCTAAGCTGACGTATGGATGCTAGAGTTTGCTGTGGAAAGCAACACAAATTAAAAAAGTACAGTCAAACCTGCTCTAGTGACCACCTGACTACAAAGACCACATGTTTTGTTTCCCTTGAAAATGGTTTCTCATTGAAACATGTACTAAAGGAACCTGTCTACAAAGACCACTTTTTGTGTTTTCCTTTGGCGGTCACTATAGACAGGTTTGACTGTATTTCAAACATCCTTTACACTGTCACAGATCTTTTAAACATTGCTCAGACCTAGCTAAAGATTGGAACTCTACACTATCAAAATCACATATGCACATGTTACAAAAGACTAAGCAAATGGATCATCATCTCATGGTTTTTGCACATCAATAAGATAATTTCCCCCTTTCCTATTCTCTTAATTTTCAAAGGGAAAAAAAAAAGTAATAAATTTAATTTAAAGTCTCCATTATCCCCAGGGTATGTTTAAAATCTTCCCCATGGCACATCTTATCAATACCTTAGATCACCTTTTGATCAGTTGCCAATTTGACCATTTCTCTTGGACATACAGATCACCCTGTCCCCGATGAAGGCTGCCCTAGACTTGGCCATCCCAAGAGAATACTCAAAATATCCCAAACCGGGCGAGACAAATCAAAGATGGAAATTGGGGAAGAAATTGATTGCATTCTAATAAAACCAAGAAAGGCCAGCCAAAACAAATTTGGTTTCTCTGTTTTTCTCTCTTTCTTCATTGCTGTTGTGCCAGACTGGTGCACTAATCCTTGGTTTCCTTCAAGGCTGATATTAAAGGGATCCGGTAACTTTGTCTTAGATCCTTTAAAAAAATCCTTGATTTAGCTCATGCTGCAATGATAATTATAAACCTTAAGGTCAGTCCGGAACCCCATGACTTTTACATGCCTGTCTGATTAGCAAGATATTTATGATTGAAAATCTAAATCAAATTTTTTGTTCGCCAAATGGTTTTCATAACACTACAGTCTATTGGGGTAAATGAGTATGGTAAAACCGATCACTAAAAGTTTTTAAAAACTTTTTTTGAGGCATTTCTCAATCATTTTGAAGCGCAATTTTTTGTAGGGCTTCAATATTACACCATATTACAGACACTGATAACATGTAGAGCCTTGCATCTCAGATTTAACATTGTTAAACGATCCCTTTAATAGGAGAGTTCTCACTGCTTTTAATGCTCAAAAGCATTTCGTGTGCCACCTGTAACGTGTCTATGTGGACAGCCCGGCGATAAGATGGCTTATTTAAGTTCACAAGCGCTATTTCAGGATTTGCTCTAGTTTTCCAAACTGCCCCGGGATTTAAATAAATCTTGTTATTTTCGTTTTGAAATCAGGGCTCTTTTACAACTTCCCTTAGATAAATTTCTCACTGCTCCTGTGTATTTTTTTCGCAATGCAGTCCCTCAGAAATGACATTCATTATTCAAAATATAAATTGGCACAACTACACTTTTCATACAATATAGGCCATTTACGATTTGATTCAGTTTTGAGGAATATATATTTCTCATAAAAAATGATGGTCTTGATGACTCACTATTGCCAGAAATGTATGCAAAAATGGATTCCATCTTTAAGAATCATCCCCATATCAACAATGATAAAAACCAATATTGAAAAAGTTAACATGGAAACAGCCAAGATTTTACAAGGAAATCTGTAATGATTAAAGACTTGCTAAAATAAATCAGGGACTTTTTCCACACAAATGTCATGAAATCGAATGTATGGTCATATATTAAGCTACTGGTATATTCATCATGAGATGGAACAGGCCCTTTTGGAAACGATGACATATATATAAAAGGTATATATAATAGCTTGTTATTAAGGGCTCTCGGAAGAAGAAAAAATGACAACTTTTTATAAATTTGGTAAAACAGGTTCCTTCTTTAGCCAGCTTTATCTTGGGGTGGAAGTTTCTGATCAATGACGAAAGTAAAATTCTGGGAATGCCATTTTAGGTGAATGTTCCCCAATATGGAAACATCTCTCAATCATATTTTTGACAGGGATAATCTTTGCTTTAAAGTCCTAATCCACTCGTGATAGCTCATTCATGAAGTGTGATTTGCTAAATATAGTCTGACTGTGAACTAATGTTCACCGAGATTGCAAATCATCACTATTACATGTACATGACACATCATGAATCACTTGTGGTTTAAATGGCAGGTACTGTATGAGCTAGATTTCTTGAAAGAAGTTTAAATTTAAACCATGTTCTACCCCAACAATTTACCATGGGTGACCAAAATGGCCAAAAAGTAAATACAGTATACATATGAAGGAGAAAAAAAAGACCTAACAAAAAGATTCAATGCTTTGTTCTTTGAAACTAAGGTAAACAAAAAGTTGATTTCCATGTTTTTGCTCACATTTTGACTATATGTAATTTCTCTTCTACTTGTCACCTTTAGGCATTCAGTTGATGATTTAAAATGTGAACCCTAGCTTAGATTTAGACTACCTTTGTGGTTTACGGCCAAAGAGTTTGACAGTGTCTTTAAGGATGACTACTGTTCATTAAATTGAATGGCTTTCTAATCACCAATTTTTTAACATTTTTTTTTTTTACTGTTGTTTATTTTCTGTAAAATGGAGAGACTGCAATAACTGATATTCTGATGCCAATTAGTACACAAAATTGATGTCCCACACCAAAACATATGCTAATCAAGTATCAACAAATATATAAACCACTATGATTGGTAACTTTATCATGCCAAATTGACCATCTTCCCTACGAAATTGACATTGATCTCAATCAGTATGCCAATTAACAAAACACAATTTTAATCCCCCACTTAAATATGTGCTAATCATTTCAAATACTGGTAAGCAATTCTATCATGAAAGATTGACTGCATCTCATTACAATATTGGCAGTTGTAGAATTATGCCTCTTGGCATACAAAATTGCTATCCTTCAATTAAATGTTTAAAACATGTGCTATAATCATGCAAATGGACATTTTATTCATCCAAAGCTGAGCATACATGTAGGTCAATACAAAAATAGCAGATTAATATTTTAATACCTAAAGTGCCCATCAATCACTATGCCAATTAGTATAGAAAATTGCCATCTTCCACTTAAATTTGAAAAATGTGCTAATCATGTAAATTAATGGGCCTTTCCGTCATGCAAAATTAACCATAATTCAAGGCAAGACTGGCATTCATACCATTATATATAATTTGCACATTAATTACTATGCCAATTAGTAAATAGAATTGCTATCCTACACTTTAAGACTTGTGCTTATATCATATAAATTCACCAAACTTCAAAAGACTATTAGCAATAATGTAATACTGATATTATCTTATGTGTGTCTTTTGGAGAAAAAAAATGCCTTTGTGTCTCATTTTCAAGAGGTGTCATCCACAGGAAATTGGAGATAAATCAAACAAAACCACACTGGACATGCTGGTCAAAACTTACGTTCAACGGCCAGAGTGACCGTTTGGCTCCGTATGGGCTGGTAGGGCAGGAAGGGATTGGTGACCACACACTGGTATTGACCGGCGTGGACCAAACGGACGTTGTTGATTTGGAGGGTTCCTGAGACTTTGAGGGAATCCTGGGCCCCGAACTGGGAGGAGTAGATGACTATGTTGATCTGGTCCTGTGTGGAAGATAATAAGGAAGACGATGATATATAATAAATGTTACGAATCAAACTAAAAAATATCTTGAAAGGTGAAGTCCACCCTGATATTGATTTGGTTTTTATAGAAGCAGGAATAAGGAGAGAAACAGGTCAGTGAAAGTTTGAGCAAAAACAGATTAAAAATAAGAAAGTTATGAATTTTTGAATTTTTTTGTGATCAATCAAACATAAATTGGCAACTGCGTGTCGTATCTTGCGAGGCCCCTCCCATTTGCCCTGTACCATTAAAGAAATTTCAAAATATTATAATTTAAATTTTCAGTCCTACAATTACCGTAAATATAATTGTTATTAGAATCTTTTCCCATCGAGAATTTCTTGGTTTTGCTTGGTTGAGAGCTCTTCAAATGATCAAATATAAACACACTTTTTTGCAAAAAGTACTATTTACGGCTCGCATACAAACTGTAAAATGTTAAAAAAATTTAATTTAAATACGATTTCAATTAAAAAAATTAACACAACTTTTGTTGTTGTTGAAAAATATATCTTTGATGCAGGATGTAAATCAAATATACCCTGCCTTCTTTTTGAGGTACCGGTTTAAACTATGCCTGGGCCTTGGTGCCTCCAATTGTTTCAACCAGAACATCTCAAGGCTGCTATTGCTTTAAGTCCCACACTCATGAAAATGACTTACATCGATCACCGGCACTCCATCTTTCTCCCAGGTGATGACGGCTAGAGGTACACTGTCACCGGTGATACACTGGAAGTAAGCTGGAGCGGACTGCAGATCAATCACGGTCATGTTGGTCGGGTGGTAGAAGATATCATCCAGAACTGCAGGTGGGAGAGGGGGAAAAATGTAAAATAGAAAATAATATGAATATAATTTTTTTTTATTGGTTTGTTTGACGTTGAAAAAAGAATGTCAATGAATATATTGACATCGAACAACAGGTTAAAAAGGGGAAGAGACAGAGAGATACAGATAGAGATAGAGACAGAGACAGAGAGAGAGAGAGAGAGAGGGAGAAAGAGAAAGAGAGAGATATGGAAAAAGAAATCTGCATGCTATTGATGCATCGTAACTACATGAATGTACTGATACAGTGTAGCAGATACATTTTAATTAAAGAATTTAAAAAGAAAAATTATTTGCTTTCACATCTACTCATCCCTTTATGGTTTTGTCTATCCTTTTTCTTCTCACAGCATCTCTGATTCTATCACTTTCTATACCTCTGTTATATCACTGTATGCTCCCCCTCTGCCTGACTCTATCTCTGTCTGTCTCTCTTAACCTTTCTTTTACTTCCAGTCATATGCTTGTTATCTTTTCAAGTATCCCGTTGTCTATCTGAATTGTATTTCTCACTTTGATTACTTTATCTTCATTTCATTTATGAGCTTTCCCGTCCTTCTGTTTCTCCATTTTGTTTCTCTATCCTTCTCCTCATACATTCTCTCTCTCTCTCTCTCTTTACTTTTCACTTCTCAATCTCACCTTCACACTGAACCAATCCAAGATTCTTTAAGACCTGCACATGTACACTACCGCTTAAACCTTGAGGCTAAAATTATCGCTCCACTCCAATTTCAGAATTTGCCTGTCACACAATACCGTCCCTCACCCGCCAATTTCATGGACAACTTGATCCCACCTCAACACCCCTTTCTCAAGGAGTCTGACATGGCAGAACATAATATGTCAATTCTTTGGGGGCAGTGTTTGATACGGGTGCACCTGATATACAAAGCATTTACCGTCCACTATCGATTTCTACTCAAGTTCGTAGAGAAATATTGACTGTCGTCTTAAGAAGTTTCTAAACTAGATATGGTTAATTACACCTATGTCTGGCGGGCACTCCCATTATTTTCTCATATATCCGTGGAAAGATAGAATGACAATATATCTGATTTCTGAGAAATTGATACATAGCCTGTTTATGTTTCCTCTGTGTGGGCTGCCAAGAGACATGTTTAGATTTGAAGATTTCAAGAATCAAACACCTGGTTTGAAATAATGAAATAACTCTTCTTTAAAGTACCATTGTGTACTCATGTCTCCTAATTTCTTTTGTTGATCTGTTGATTTCTTTTTTGTTTTGATTTTTGTTTTTGTGGGTCTGGATGAACTAAATGAAGGGCAAGTCAACAAGGGCAGTAATTAAATTATTTTAGCTCTGGTTGACATGGATCTACGGTACATGTATATTATATTTGTATAGATTAATATAATGATAGCAGACAGGGTCAATCAAAGATATATTTGCTGTTCAATGAAATTTGTAAAATACAATTCCCTGCACATGGCAACCTCAAAAGCCAACTAGTAATAGAATTACGTAAATTGGGACATTTGTGTATTAATTTGAACCGCCCCCCACACAAAAAAATATCAAAAATCTTCTGAATCTCTGAAACATTAAAGCATTCAAGACATTTGATAATATTACAAAATTTTGTTCTGCTCTTTGTAATTAGTCTAATACACATGTATTACAGTAAAAAATTGTCAGTTATTCATGAAAAATAATCAACAATATGCATAAATCAAACAACTATCAGCAGAAGATGTGGATATACTGAAATCTCAATTAAATAACTACCAATTAAATGTCAGTAAATCATACAAATATATAGAGGAGAAGTTACAAAAAATCTTAATGTGTCTTAAGTGCATCTTATTAAAAATGAAAAGCATGAAATGTATGTATGTACAGTGCACCAGTAACCCCCCCCCCCCATCCCCCAAGCAAGTATCCCAAAGCATTTAAAGGTGCCTGTGTGATCCCATCTCAAACTTGTAAACTAAAGGCTTCCTTTCTTGCTTTACTTCTTATTGTTCTCAGAAACTTTAGATAGATCTATCAACATCTGAAGATTTTGTCAGGAAATCCTTTCTTTCCGATGAGAAGACTCTCCAAAATAAACAATTACTCTATATCTTGACATTTATGCTTCAAATGATTGAAAAAGTCAGCTGCTAAAGCTTGCCATGCTTATGGAGAAATTTTTTCATAAACTTCATGACTAAAGGTTACATGTATTTTGAAAGGAGATAGAAACTGTTTACTCTTTCTGGGGTTGCAAGTTATATTCTCAAGAAGTTACTCTTTTTGTACAAATCGAGATATTTTTCAAACATAAATAAATGCTCAGTCAAACCTGTCTTAGTGGCCACCTCTGTATAAAGGCCACCTGTATATGTTGTATCATAGTTTGACAAACTATGACAAAAGTAGAAAATAATGTATAAACACTACTAGACTCTTATCTGTCTTGAATTAAGTTTTAAAGACAGCTTTAATTGATGGAAATGATTTGATGGGTATGGATCTGAAAACAAACATGATTCATTAGGGAAAAACAAATCTTACTGCAACTGTAGTGCAAGTGATACAGCAAGCAGAATTAAGATAACATCAAGTTTGCAGGTGTCTCAATTGCTGTCTTTCTGAGAGTTTGCAATAATTTCTTTGAGGTTAAAAACAGGATTCAGTTGATTCACATTAATTGAGTTGATGTGGTTTTATTAATTTCCATCTGAGGCCTTCACCTTTACAAGTGCAGAGTAATTTATAACTTATCATTTTCAGCAATGACTACATGTTCATGCATATGTTTTTCTTTCTATGGAAGAGGACAACGTCAATGAAGCTTGCTGATGAAAATTTAATAAATACAAAAAATAACATAAAAATAAATATACACATTTATCACTTACTGTTTATGTACTTGGTGCATTTTTTAGACATATGTTGTGCCAATTGATATGTTATATCAAAGTTAATAGACACTTCATGACATTTTCAGAATCAAAATCATTTCGATTAAATAAAGGTACATGTACAGTAAATAAATAGATTTATTGAATTTATTGAATACTTCTTGTACGAATGATCTTATAGCCGTGGAAATTGTATTAATTAAGGATTAGGTAAAACTCTCCTGACTGCTGAACAGTAGTACATGAATGTGCCAAGGGCTTACACAAGGGTTACCGGTAGGTGGAAAACAAAACATTTTCTTGCTACATCTTGGCAACAAGACTGCTTTAATTTGCTTACTAATTACTGTAAAGTTCTTGTGTCTACAAGTCATGATGTTTTAAAAGTGTGCCAGATACACTGCACATAGTATACGGTAATGCTTTGCCTTAAATTAATTAGGTAACTTTACACCTCTCTGTTAATTGGTACATGGCATTCAATTACCTGTGTTGCCTCAGTAAGTTGCAACCACTTATACTTTGAATCAACAAACCATTTGTCAACATTATTTTGGGAATGGAAATGGGAGAACATATCTTTTGCAATTCTCAAACACATGAAAATGATAGTCAGGTTTTTGCTTGCCATATGTTGTAATTTTCCTACAAGTATGAATCTGCTAAACATTGCTGAAAGGCTTCTACGAGCAGAACTATATGATGATTCCCCCCACCCCCCCAAAAAAAAAAATCATGCTAAAAATTGTTCCAATTACTGGTATATACATGTATATATGTTCTACGGTGTACACTGTACATATAAATAGTATGCACTTCAATTAGGCCTCTGAAATTTTTCAAACTTGTGTGAGAGATTTTCTGGGCAGTTTGTGTTAGGTCTAAATACTGATATTGATATATTGACTTCATAGGGTAGAAGAAAGCTATAAAACTCTGTAAAAGTTTATTTGAACATTTTTTGTATTGAGGAGGAGGGGGTTGCTAAAAGGGCATGGATCCTGAATGAGTTCATTGCCTAGGAGAGAGCTCACGCCGAGGGTGATGGGGGAAACGAACAACTTCCCATCATGCCCCAGGAGGTTTTTCCTTCTAACGAATCTGTTTGTTCTGCAAAGTGGCAACATCAGCAAGTCGTTGGGCCTGGCTGGGCAGACGCATACGCAAACAAATGTCTGTACTGCAACGTTTTAACGACACAGTAAAGGATTTTCATAGTTTGGTTAAGTTACCTGGTCCTAGAGGAAAACACTTTTATTGAAGTGTTTTTTTAGTTGTTGATAGAGACGATTCGTCAGTCTATTCATTCTTTTCTGTTTTTATGGACTAATTTTAGATTGTCTCGCCTACAACCTGGAGAATAATGTTTTTACTTGCCAAATATACATGCATATATACTTGAAGAGCTTCTACTTTTTGGAAATCCCTATTCAGAAGTCTTCCAAATATCATGTTTGAAAAAACTACCCTGTCTGCTTTTGTGACAAATACAACAAATAAAGTGATGTGTAAAAGGTTGTAATATACATTGCTTTAATAATTTGCAACTGTTGTTTTCTGTTTTCCTTCTCTGTGTTTATTTTGTAATTGATTGTTGTAACACAGCTGTTTCAACATATTCCGTTTAATATATTGAAAAGTTGGATCCTTATACAAACATTTGCAGGTATGAATTGACAATGATGTCATACTGTCATGCTGAGTACAAATAAATGTGCAAAGTATTACATCATACACTTTATATTGCTCACTGCTCACTGCAATGGGATTGTGCAATGAGGACAAAAAACAAGCTTCATTGAGCTGAAGGGAAGTAAACACTGATGATAGGGAAGATACTACGTCATCTACAAAGTAATCAGCGTTTCTATGCCAAACAATCTACCCACAATACCCACAACATGTATGAAATATCATATTGAAGAAGGAAGCAATGACAGTAAAATACCAGAGTTGCCAATTTCAAGACGAGATACTAATCAACTTAGCTTCAAAGAAAGAATTCCTGACCTGAACGGATTAAAAAACATCAGAAAGTCATGAGATTTGTTATTAAAGGGAGTGTATCATGGCAAATACTGGTTAACACCATCTATATCTACTT